CCAGAATCTGCAAAAAACTAAAACAGATTTACAAGAAAAAAACAAGCAAGTCCATTCAAAAGTGGGTGAAGGATATGAACAGACACTTTACAAAAGAAGACATACATGAGGCCAACAAACATATAAAAAAAACGCTCATCATCACTGGTCATTAGAGAAATGCAAATCAAAACTACATTGAGATACCATCTCACACTTGTCAGAATGCAATCATTAAAAAATCTGGAGACAACAGACAGTGGAGAGGATGTGGAGAAATAGGAACACTTTTACACTGTTGGTGGGAGTGTAAATTAGTTCAACCACTGTGGAAAACAGTGTGGCAATTCCTCAAGGACCTAGAAATAGAAATTCCATTTGACCCAGCAATCCCATTATCCAAAGGATTATAAATCATTCTACTATAAGGACACATGCACACAAATGTTCATTGCAGCACTGTTTCCAATAGCAAAGACCTGGAACCAACCCAAAGATCCATCGATGATAGACTGGACAGGGAAAATGTGGCACATATACACCATGGAATACTATGCAGCCATCAAACATGATGAGTTCATGTCCTTTGTAGGGACATGGATGAACCTGGAAACCGTCATTCTCAGCAAACTGACACAAGAACAGAAAATCAAACACTGCATGTTCTCACTAATAGGAGGGTGTTGAACAGTGAGAATACATGGACACAGGGAGGGGAGCATCACATACTGGGGTCTGTCAGGGGGAAATAGGGGAGGGACAGCTGAGGGTGGGGAGTTGGGGAGAAATAGCATGGGGAGAAATGCCAGATATAGGTGATGGGGAGGAAGGCAGCAAATCACACTGCCATGTGTCTACCTATGCAACAATCTTGCATGTTCTTCACATGTACCCCAAAACCTAAAATGTAATTACATAAATAAATAAATAAATAATAAATAAAGAGTGAAGAAAATCAGAATCTGGATGTTATTTTAACAGTTAAAAGGGCCACTGAGAAGCATGACTTATAATTAGCAAAATACATGGGAGCTCCTTGTAGCATTAACCAGGACCCTATGATCCATACTTTAAAACAAGAGCAGGTGAAGAAAAAGCAATATCCTTCCTAAAATAAGACACCTCTTTTTGTCCACTAACAATCAGAAAAATTCCTTTTGTTATTTTTTTTTTTTTTTGCAGGTATCTGAGGATTTGTGAAGTGGCACTCTAATAAATGAACTCAGCACAAAATGTATCAAGATTAAAAATAAAAATTTCTAATATTCATTAAGCAATCACTATTCTTGGTGCTTAGTCCCCATTCTAAGTTCTTTGTATTTAATTTTTTCCATTTAATAATGCTAGGTATTAGTATCCCATTTTATAGATAAGGAAACAGGCACAGAGATCTAAGTAACTGCTCAAGGTCTGATGGCTAATAAGTAGCAGAGACAGAAACTGAAACCAGGAAATCTGACCTCAGAACCTACGCTCTTAACCATGCTGCTGTGCTGTCACTAAGAGAATCAGGGACTTGAACTGAGTCCCTATGGAGCTCCCAAAAGAGACAGAGGAGCTATGACAAGAAACGTAGGAAGGAATCGATGCTGAAAACAAGTCAGACTTGCAAATCAGTATCCAATTCACTACTAAGTTCCTACTGTGTGTTGGGCACTGCATTCAATGCTTTGGGAAATATTACCATAAAGATAAATAAGACAGAGTCCCTTCTCATCTTCATTGCTTCTTCAATTGTCAACTCTTCCATAAAGCCTCCCCTGACTCTGAACACTATTATACCACTCTTCACACTGCATTATAAAGTTTTCATGTCTGTCTCTCCTCCCAGTAGGCTGTAAGTTCTATGGCCCATGATGGGAACAGATGCCATGTTTTAGCTCCTTTTCCAGTGCCTAGATTCCCTGTAAGTATGCCAGGACACACTGCTGTCTCTCTGTAGATGTTTTATGAATGCATGAACAGATGAAACACAGATAGAGGGCATGGAAGTCAAATAATATGCTCTGAGATTCATAGGCTGCTTGTGGTAAAGATGGGGAAAGATTTTGCATATCCCAGCTCCACTCCAAAGTTCTGTCTGATATATCACATGTATCACACTAGTATCTTTTGCCCAAACTGCATGATTTAACATTTTAGCATATGTTATGAATAAAATGCTCATATTTCATCTTTATGCTTCATCTCTTATTTAAGATGTTAATCCCTTATAAGCAACGGCCACTGCATACCTCACTTACTGTGTCAGGCCATGCTATAGGGATACCTGCAATTGAATCTTTAGAAAGGTACAGACCTCTTAAGTTGCTAAATCTAAAAATGAAAGTTTAGATAGATTAAGTTACTTGCTCAAGGTTACAATGCTAGTAAGCGACAGAACTGGAACTTAAATCTAATTCAAAATCCCACACTAGTAATAACTGGACTATTTTTGTGCTCTCAAAGTTCCAAATCCCAACTTCACCACCTACTAGTTATGTAACCTTGGAAAAATTATTTAACTCCTCTGAGCCTCATTTTTATCATCTTTGAGGTAAGTAAATGAAAACTATCAAAAATGATATAAGGGTTAAATGAGCTCCTAAATGTAAAGTGTTGGTCACATAGTAGGTATTCAACGAATATGTATTGATAGTTCCATCCAATAAGATTCTGCCCAGTAATTGAGCACATATGTTAACAATTTATTTAGATAATATAACTTGTATTAATTGCTGTGCTATAAAAACAACTATGCTGGAATTTATTTCCCAACTAAAGAGTTCCAAGTTGTCCACAAAATTAAAATTTTGTAAAACTAAGATTTCACAGTAAATACAGACAGCTATAGATTAAAAGTCTTCTAAAACAACTTTTATTATCACTTTTTAATCAGTAGAGATTCTAAAATACAAAGGTCAAAACCTTGCCCAAGGCTGAATCAGTCATTGAGAATCTGGACCCAGAATTTTGTTACATGTTCTCATTTAATCATAGCTGGCTTGCTTCCACACTAAGGTATGGTTCCTTTTATAATGGCAATTCTGTGATGATTAATTTTATGTGTCAACTTGACTGGGCTAAGGAATGCCCAGGTAGTTGGCAAAACATTATTTCTGGGTTTGTCTATGAGGTTCTTTCTGACAGAGATCACCATTTGAGTTTGCTGTGGGACAAAAATCAAACAAAAAGATGCAGGAAAGGTAAATTCAGCTTTGTGTTTAAGCTGGGCCATTTATCTTCTGCTCTCAAACACCAGCGCTCCTGGTGTCTTTCAGACTCAGACCAGGACTTAGACCATTGGCCCCCTAATTCTCAGGCTTTTGGACTCGCAATGAGTAACACCACTGGCATTCCCCAGTCTCAAATTGCAGACCACATACTGTGGGACTTCTCAGCCTCCATAATCACAACAGCCAATTCCTATAATAAATATACATACACACATGTATATCTCCATTATATTCTCTTGGTTCTGTTCCTCTCAAGAACCCTACTACAACTTCCCACGTGAAACAGAGTTTTTACCCAGTAAAGGAAGAATTTAGAAGATGTAGTTTCACATTCAGCCTCTGCCACATATTAGCTCTGTGAATCAGGCCAAAGTTTCTTCATCGATGGAATGGGAACAAAATAGCTTTTTCTTTTTTTTTGAGACGGAGTTTCGCTCTTGTTACTCAGGCTGGAGTGCAATGGCGTGCAACCTCCGCCCCCTGGGTTCAGGCAATTCTCCTGCCTCAGCCTCCTCAGTAGCTGGGATTACAGGCATGCGCCACCATGCCCAGATAATTTTTTGTATTTTTAGTAGAGACAGGGTTTCACAATAGTGACCAGGATGGTCTTGATCTCTTGACCAATTGTTATAGTGATTAAATAAGACAATGCAAAGGAATAGGCCTAGCATAGAATCAAGAATATAATAGGCATTCAGTAGATGTTGCTGAAACTATCTGGAGTTTTCAAGATGCAGCCAAGTGTCAGTGCTTTTATTGGAAGTACCTAGGTACAGAGAAGGAAGGAAGGACAGAGGGAGGGAGGAAGGAAAGGGAAAAAAAGGAAAAAGGAGAGAGGGGAAGAAGAAAGGGAAGTGGAAGAGGCAGGGAAGAAAAACAGATTTGAAAAACACCTATCTGGGATGCTATAGCTGCAATTCTGTTTAAAAGGAGCAGGAAGACTTCAAAGTCACACAAAAGCCTATGATTTTGAACCTGAATTACAAAGTTAAATTATGAACCCCATCTTATTATTTCTCTAATCGTAACAGAAATTATGATTTTCAATGAGCTAATCAAAAACTGAAAAAGTGTGGTCACGGAGAGATAGTTTGATCTGCGTAGACTGGAAGAGTTGTTTTTCAAGAGGTGGTCCATTGGGAAGATATCAGAAGATAAAAAGTGTCTTTCGGCATGAAACAACAAAGAATCTGCAAACACCCTTGACAGAGAGACAGAGATATGTGTGAAATGCTAATAGGCATACAGATTTACTGTGAAATCAACCTTACAACTGTGCCAATGACACTTGGGATACATTTTATTATAGACAACCAATTGGCTTTTCTTTACTCACAATGAAGCACTACATGAGTAGTCAATAAACTCTCCACCTCCCTTCTTACCATTTATCTCTCCCTCCCTTACCCTGCTAAATCCTGATTTGAAACTGTACTGTGCCTCACCTTACAAGCTGTATGACTTAAGAACACTATCACGTTCACGGAAGAGATTAAAGCAGAGGAAGATGAGGTTTGATGGAAATTACTTTAAGGAGAGAAAAAGACTGGCACAGCCTGATTTTTATACTTTCCTTAATGGCAGATGGTAAAACCCCATTTATAATAGAATGTATGGTAAACATCAGAAAAAAAAGTGATTACTACAAAAAGTGAACAAATCTAAGGAAACATAATGGAGCTTGAAAAACAACCTGTCTAAAATCCATTTACCAAAATCTATCCTTGGGTAGAGTAAAGATTTCGATGTTTTCCATCCCCAAAATACCTTATGTAGGCCTAACATGATTATCTTCTTTTCCCATAGAGTTCTAGTGCTACCTAAGAGTCACACACTGAAGGCTGGGACATCATTGCCTTTGAAGGTCACCATTGAAATATATGTGTCCAATTCAGAAACGGGCCGCCAAAAACTACACATTCAAGACCAAGTGCTTCTCTTCCAGAATCATAGCACACCAGGAGTCAACACTGCAGGTAGTGCACAGCAAAGAGAATGAGCTACAGGCAACCCCGTTAGACTCAAGATTCATAGCCCATTTCCACACATTCCCTTTGCATCATAGTTTGCTGCCTTATACTTTTAAAGGTAATTTTTCTTGATAAGGAATATCTGTTACCTTCATACTCCGTGGAAGTAAGCAAAGAATTGTTGTGACCCTAGAGAAAAATCAGAGTCACAGAATTTTAGGTCTGGAAGGGATCTTTTAAGTCATATAGAATTATCATTTTAGAAGCAAGAATACAGAGGTTCTGAGACATTAAGGGATATGTCCAGGTTCAGCAAGTTACTAGTAGAATCGAGACTTTTTAAAAAATCATTATTCTCAGTGCATTGCTCTTTCTACCACTTAAACATACTTTATCAATAGCTGATTGTTTCTGAAATTTTAAAATACTTCCTTTGCTAAGACTGAAAAAAAAATCATCTCTGTTTCCAAAGCTCAGAAGACTAAATATGCAGACTCAACCTCATATATGTACCTCCTCCCTATTTCTACAATTATCAATGTCCTTCCTACCTTGCAACTGAAATAAAATAACATCCTTCTAAGCTATGCCATCATTTGCAATGCACCAAACATCAAATATGGAGAACAAAACTAAGACTGTCTTACTTTTGACTTATAGAAAGTATTCTTCAGAAGTTTGGCGGGGAAGATGACAGATGACAAAGATTCCCTGCCTAAGATTAAGGACCTGGCATTTCTCAAGAACCATCTAGAGATCTTGAGATCTCAAGAACCAGCAGTGGCACGTGGAAGATGAAGTCAACAGCAGGGCAGGCCAGGATGGCTCGCTATTGTCCTCCCCATTCCTCAAGAGATTCCTGGCTAGCTGTGGTGGCCACACTGAGGGCATCAGCAGTATTAGGCTTTGCCATGAGCACCTGTGCTGGCATCTATGCAGCTCAGGGCTCAGGCTATGCTGTGCCCAATGTGGAGATGGCATTGAAAGACTATTTGCAGTCACTATGCAAGGGGCCCGACTATCTCTAGATGCTATGGGGGAGGCAGAATAATGATCTGGAGCCTGCAGGTAGAGACACTGTCTGGCTTCTCTGGCTGTCATCCATTTTTCTTCCAACTTTCATGCCAACTTTATCCTTGCCTCCCTTCCTGCAGACTGTGGACAGTGGCTTATCAGCCTGCTCCCTGGATTCCTTCTTCCCCCTCCCAACTCCATCAGACTGGCCCCAAGACTGTGACTTCAAGGGCCACCAGCCCCTTACTCTTCAAGCCCTGACTATGCAGTTGGCAGATGATTCTGATCCTCAGTATCCTCTCTGGCAATGTCCCATGGCTCCTACCTACTGGGAGCTGGCTCCATAACTTGATTTCCCCCAAATATGTTACAATCCCAACTGCCCCTTGCTAACTACACAGGCCACCCAAAGTCTAGCATGGGTATGAAGGCAGTGGACCTTGATGCTACTCATGCCCATGCCCCATGCTGGCACTGTGCCATGTGGACAGCCAGGTGCCCATCCAGCCCTCCTCAGCTGTGGAGCTGAGTTGACCAAGCTACTGTTAGGTACCTTCTCCCTTCTAGTGGGCTGGCAAGCATGGCCCTAGGGAGCTCCACTCTGACACCAAGATGCTCCCTTCACACTATCAGCCCTGCTCTATGGCACTAACAACAGCCTAGTGATCTATCTTCAGCATGACATGAACCCCAGCACCTACCAGGTGCTGAGCAATTGGAAGCAGGACCCTGTTCCAGTGTCTGCCTCCAGCACTGCTTCTCTGCACCTCAGGGGTTAGCACTGCTGCTGGCTGCGGGACCTGTTACCCATCAGGTGGCCTTTAAGAACTTGGTACACCCTTCCCAGCCCCCTCCAGCAGCTGCTGCCAGCCCCATGCCCCTACACATGACTCACCTGGGCCTGCTCCTCCTCATCATGGACTTCCTCATCTCAGGCCTGTCGTCACTGCAGAGCTGCTCATGAGAAGACAGCAGCTGCCCCTGGCACTTTAGAACGTCTTTCTCTATACCTTTGGTGTGCTCCTGAATCTAGAGCTTCATGCTGCTGGTGGCCCCAGCCCAGGCCTCCTGGAAGGCTTCTCAGCATGGGCAGAACTTGTGGTGCTGAGTCAGGGATAAATGGACTGCTCATGTCCACTGTCAGGAAGCACATCAGCAGTATCACATGCCTCTTGGTTGTGCCCTGCTCACTGATGGTCAATGCCATGCTCTCAGCAGTCCTGCTGCAGCTGCAGCTCACAGCCACCTTCTTCCTGGCCACACTGCTCATCATCACCCTGGCTGTGTGCCCATACTATGGCAGCCACTAGTCCCTGACCTCCTCCACCCTGGCTCCAGACCCTGTAGATTGGGTGCCACCATCAGAGTCCCCTCCTAGACCTCCCTTCCAGTTCCCTCAGCAGCCCAGTAACAACTGCCTTGTGAGAAAAGCTGGAGAAGTGAGAGAGAAGTCAGGTTATTCTCTGGAGATAAATGAATGAAGGGGCAGTCCTAGGAGACAGGAATAATGGGTTTGATTAAGGACGTTCTCATCTTCCTGCCCTCTCATCAAATTCTTCCAGACTAAAGAATTAAGGTAACATCAATACCTGGGCTTGAGAAATGTTCCTATCCCTGCCTCATCCTGCATGAAAGCAGATGATCAAAACAGGGTGTGGGCAACAAGTAGCTTTCCTGGACTACTTTGGTCACCCCAGCAGAGCCACTGCCCCCAAGCCTGGTGCTGGCTGCTCCAGCCCAGCCATGGTGCATGACTCTCCCATAAGGGATACTCAAACCTCCCACTGTCATGCAGGAAGACCCAACTGCCACAGATTATACAACTAGTACACCAGTCACTCCCACAATCCCCCCAGTTCCAGCAATGCCTAGACACATGCCCCGCACCCTCTCAAGACTGCTGGTTCCCCACACCTAGCCTTTGTTCGGCAAACCCCAGAGAGGGCTGAGGCTTGACTCATCTCAGGGAATGTTGGTCCTGGGCCCTGACTTAAGCCAACGTTCCTGATCTCTCTGATCACCTGAACGCACAGCCCACTCTAAGGCTTATAGGAGGTACCATGCTTCTTACTCTGGGTCCTGTCCAGGCCAAGCAGTCTCCCAGCTCCCAACAGCCTTGACAAGCTCTCAATCAATATCTGACCAGGTACCTGTAGCTCAATCAATCTCTCTTCAACTACATAAGCAATAAGGTCTTAATAAAGTGTTCTAGGGTGTACAGTGGTTCCCACAACCACACACTAAAAAAGTAAGTGCTATTCATTTCCTTAACACCTGTGTCCAAATGGCCTATTTCCTATGCCATAAACAATAGAAAGACTGGTCAGTAGCCAGTTGGCTGAAGTCATACATCCTTCACACTTTTCTGCCTCATGGATAGCAAAAATGAGACTCTCTTAACTCAGCTAATTCAACAGTTCATTCAAACTCAAGATAAAACTTTTCTCTGAAAATACAAATCATGTTCACATTATGAACACCTAGATGTGTTAGACGTCCTGCTTCAGAAAAGACCTCATGAAAATAAACCTAACAGCTAGACCGATAAATAAAATGTTTGAAGATTTCTCTAAAGTTGAACCCTAGAGACCATTTTCAGCAGAAGAGTTAAAGGAGTTTCCAATGGAAAGAACAAGCACATAAATTGAATATAGAGCCAAACAATGAAATGAAACTGGCCACTCATCTACGAGGCCAGAAGAATGAAAACCAAGTCCCAACGCATCACCAGAAACGCTTCTTGAAACTGGGAAGCACAGAACCTGCCCCTCCCTGAGCCTGAGCCACTTCCCCTGACACTTTCTAACCCAGAGACGGCCCCAGCATCTAACTGAGAACGCATTTTCCAGGATGTGAAACTTGCCATAGGAAAACCATCTCTTTCCCTATGCTGTTGTCTGTCTAAGCAAAGGACTCACTTTTACCAGAAGAGAGATAATTTCACTGAAAAGTGTGGAATACACATTTGATCATATTTATATATTTGGTAACTCATAAAACTATTTTAAAAATTGATAAATGTTAACTCTTTTTTTTTTTTTTTTTTGAGACAGAGTCTCACTGTGCTGCCAGGCACCAGGCTGGAGTACAGTGGCACAATCTCAGCTCACTGCAACCTCCGCCTCCCAGGTTCAAGCAATTCTCCTGCCTCAGCCTCCCGAGTAGCTGAGACTACAGGCAAATGCCACCACGCCCAGCTAATTTTTGTATTTTTAGTAGAGAATGGGTTTCACCATGTTGGCCAGGATGGTCTCAATCTCTTGACCTCATGATCCGCCCGCCTTGGCCTCCCAAAGTGCTGAGATTACAGGCTTGAGCCACCGTGTCCAGCCTGATAAATGTTACTCTTTAATCATCAATATATATTATAAAACACTATCAACCTTAAAGGTTGAACTCAACCCTAAAACCCTTTCACAAGGCCGTGTAGAAGCTAAGCCCATATTTATCTCTGTTCTGTGCCTCGTCCTTCTCCACCTAAGGCTGCTTGCAGTTCCCAATATAAACTTAGCACACTCATGATTGTCACTGCTTAGCAGTAGCCCTTATATAAATGTGCCTTTTGATGACCCAAGCTGGGTATATTAGTTCATATGTCTTCTCTAGGATTAAGACAATTCATGGGACATTTATTACTAATGTTTTATTATAACAGCCAAAATAAATTTAAAATAACAATAATCAACATTTGTGTGGCAGTTTATGGTTCACAAAATGCTTTTAAATACATGACCTCATTTGAATCTTGCAAGCCTCAATCAAGATGGGGAATGAAAATGGAAACATAGTCTCAGAAAGGTCACAGTACTATTAAGCTGCAGAAACAGAACTTGAACCAAGGTCTTCTAAATTCAAATCCTATGCTCTTTATACTATACCAAAAGAAATTAATATATTGGTGAATTTTTAAATTATACATAAGATTCACCAATGCTGGCTAGGCATGGTGGCTCAAGCCTATAATCCTAGCACTGTGAGAGGCTGAGGCAGGCGGATAACTCGCAGTCAGGAGTTCGAGACCAGCCCAGCCAACATGGTAAGACCCCATCTCTACTAAAAATACAAAAATTAGACAGGTGTGGTGGCACATGACTGTAATCCCAGCTACTCAGGAGGCTGAATCACTTGAACCTGGGAGGCGGAGTTTGCAACAACCTGATATTATGACACTGCACTCCAGCCTGGGCGACAGAGCTAGATTCTGTTACCAAAAACAAAAACAAAAAAAGATTCACCAATATATTCATTCCTTTTGCCAAAGTGTGTGTGTGTGTGTGTGTGTGTGTGTGTGTGTGTGTGTGTCAAACTAGAAAGGTAGATGTAAGGAATCTTCTAGAGCAACAACCACACACGTAAAAACAAAGAATAGACAGTTTCTAACAATCTAAGTGTAACATGACTTTGCATATTGCAGAGAAGGCATATGATGCTACATGGCAGCTCCAGCACTCAGGGTTAATAACAGTGTCGGTAAGCAAAAGAGCTCAGAGTGTCTACCTGGAGAAGCAAACTCATTCCATGATGCTGGTAGTTCTCAGCACAAAGGCTGTAGCAGCATGCCGCTGGGCAGGGCACAGTTAATGCAGATTCTTCTAGGACTCTGTTCCACAGCCAAGTCTCTAGCTGAGTTTCACAAGGACCTCTTTGTCTTGGGCCTCCTCCCAATACATGGGAAACCTCAGAACGTCTCTTGCCACTGGGTGCAACTAAGCTTGGCCACTTGGTATTACTGGCTCTCAAGGGTGGCCAGCTAGTCGAGCCAAGACATATTTCCAACACTTCTTGGTCTTACAAACAACATATACTTTGGAAGAACTTTAATAGAAGATTGGAGGATATTTTTTCCAATAATACTTTAAAATCCATATGAGAGAACGAACTAATATCCAATGGAACATAATTTCTTATACTCTGCCCTTTTTTTCTATCACCTAGCCAACAAGGTAAACTGATATGTCTGTGAAATGACAGATCCACAAGGACAGAGTACTTTTAACCTGACAGAATACTTTTAACTTGAAAATCTCAGAGAGCAGATTTTCAAGTATGTGTAATAAGCGAAGAATTATTTGAGATTATCAACTCAAAAATATGCTAAACATACGTGTTAACCACTTTTTTAAATTAAGAAAATATTAAGGAGACAGCACATATAATCAGTAGAAATCATCAAATCATATTTATATCTCCCCAAATACCTTTTGATTTTTAAAATATTATGATTTAGTCTACTCTAGTATAAAAGTAGTAACGGTCCCAAAAGAAAAAATACACCCAACTCTGAATAAAAATAAACTTCAGGAATGTAGAGTTTTGCCATTTTTCTAGATGGTTCCTTTAACATAGAAATGCTGCATGCCATTAAGAGGTATGAAGTGAATTGTTAGGTTAACAGTTTATTGATCATTATACATGAGATAAGTCAACTTATATCTTGAGAAAAACACAAGTTAGTATCTTTCTACATGTACATTTACATGCATGTAAATCTAAAGAGAAGAGACTGGACGAATAACTCTTCAGCAGGCTCAGGGCAAATTGTTGAAGAGAGACTTTTACTCTCTGCTCCATTATTTATGCTCTGTATCATATAGCTTTTTATTCTATATTGTTTAAACTATGAAAATAAAAACACAATCATATTTTATTTGTATAAGATATAAAAAGAAAAATTTTTTTTAAAAAAAGGTTAAAAAGAGTTGGCTCAATTATTGGACCATTGTATCATTGCATTGATACAATGCAATGGACCGTTGTATCATTCATTGGTTGTTAAACCTTAGATTTTGTCCAAAGCAGTTAAACAACCACGGAATGATACAATGCTTTAGAAATGGAGGACTGAGGCTGGGCACAGTGGCTCACACCTGTAATCCCAGCACTTTAGGAGGCTGAGGCTGGCAGATCACATGAGGATAGGAGTTTGAGACCAGCCTGGCCAACACAGTGAAACCTCTGTCTCTACTAAAAATACAAAAATTAGCTAGGTGTGGTGGTGCATGCCTGTAATCCCAGCTACTCTGGAGGCTGAAGCAGGAGAATCATTTGAGCCTTGAAGGTGGAGGTTGCAGTGAACTGAGATCACACCACTGCACTCTAGCCTGGGTGACAGAGAGAGATTCGAAAGAA